AGGAAGCCACACGTGGAGCACGTCTTCTTCCCTTCCTCCTTTACCCCTTGCTGTCTGCTCGCTTGGCAGGGGCGCGGGCGCTGGCGAGGAGGTGGCAAAGCACGAGCAGGGAGAGAAACGGGAAGCCATGACCTCGCTTGTCTGTCCGAGGTCTGCACAGCCTGGCTGGGGGTGGGAGTCCAGCAGGTCGGGTTTGCTTTCAGTTTTTTTTGAAGCTGCACAAATCCCAGTGGGAAGCAAATACAGAGACCTCTGGAAGACTTCTATAAAACAGCAAATGTCTCTGTTCCCTCTTCGTCTCCTCCGTCAGTTTTGGTTCTCACTGGGCTTTTATCTCCTATTTTCAGAGCAAAACTTCCCTAGCTGCCAGTGGCTCTTATGTTTCCCTGATGATCTCGATAGAAGACAGACATTTTTTACAGTGAGAACAATCATTCACTGCAACAGCCTCCCCAGGGCTGGGGTACAGTCACTGTCACTGGAGGTTTTAAAGATATAATTGGACAGGGTGCTGGATATCTAGAGTCACCTAGACTCCCTTTCTCACAAAAGGTTGGTCGAGATGATTTTTTTGAGGTCCCTCCCAGCCCGGGCTGCTTTATGACTCTGTGTATCCTAGTTACATTTGTTCAGCCTGTAAGTTGCCTTCAGCACTGATTTTGAAGAATTTGAGAATAATATCTTCTGTCCATCTGTGGGAGTGACCTGGTTGTTGGGTCCCTGCAGCATTGTGCTGCTTGGTCTCCAGATGTGTGGCATCTGCTTGTTACCCATCTACCAGGGTGGTTAGCATGAATGGTGACTTCTCAGACATTGAAAGGACTTGCCCCCAGCCCAGCTTTGTCTTCTCTCTGCTGACCTACCATGAGGAGAAGTCAGAAGCTGCTGCACTGAGGGGTAAGCTATGTTGATTTTCCCAGAGGGACCTGTCGTGAAGTGGAGCCACCCAGGGCTGTAAGATGGAAAAACCTGACATGGTTTGGGTTGAAAACCTAAACCATCAGCATCACTGGTACAAGCAGGAGCGCTGAGGGCTGGTTCTTGTGACAGATTCTGGTGACAATAAGCAGACCTTTTTTTGAGACACCGCTGCTGGTATGTTGTTCTTCTTGACACTACATAGTGTCCGAAAATCCCTGTCAGTCTCTCTGGAGCTTGGCAGGCATCCAGCAGCCAGCCATCACTTTACAGGATGCGTTCGTGCCTTCCCAGCGGCCCCTTTGGGGCCCCTCTGCCCTGCACCCTGCTGCTCGCCACGCTGGCTCTCTGCCCGGCTGCCACCGCCGCTCCAGCTCCCGTCAACTCCAGCCATTGGGATAAAATACCGAATTCTGCTTCAGGCCAGCCCACGAAACGTCAACTGCTGGCCTGTCCTTTCTAAGAAACTCTCCTGGGAGGTTCCTTTTGCTAGTTTTTCCCCCCTCTCTTTGCACCTTGAAGCAAGGAGGTGTCCCATCCCCTGTGAAGGAGCTTCAGCAGCCCCGTTGCCTGTTGGGTTTCATGGCTACCAGGCGCTGCCGGAGCCCCTTCGATGCACACTGGGAAGTGCAACTCGCGCTTTTTCCTCTCCTCCTGCCGGCAGCGTGGCCGCGAGGATGTCGGTGTCGCCAGCCGCAGATGCCGTCGGGTTTTGTGAAGAGGGGCTTCCTGCGGGGTCAGGGTGCTCCATTGTGCCGGCGCTTCCCCTCCAGCTGGCTTCCTCCCTCCTGCGGCGCCTAAATATAGCAGGAGGCATTGTGCGAGCGGGGCCCGGGGGGC